CATATACATGCATATATATGTACACATGCGCACGAACGCACACAACTCTTTTATTTGATAGGTGTTATTTTTTACACATATCTAAAGTTATAGTAGTTTTTTACATAACAAATACTTGTCATATAGCAATTGTTACATTAACTTTTTCTGCACAATGACATTCTAATTTTTATTATATAAAGTTCAAAATAAATATCAATAATATATTAATTATAGCTATAAAACTAAGAATGTAACAAGAATTTGCAGTTATTTCAATTTTAATTTTTTGTCATACAAGGAAGATTGTAGAAAAAGTATTACCTATGTAATATAATAATTATTAAAATGTACTCTGTTCCTCTAAATGTTAATTTAAAGGAGATGTCATCTTTACCAATACCTTTTATCTTTCAAAAAATAGTTTTAAATTAATTATTGATCTTAATCAAATATAATCCTTATTTTTATATTCTTATATACAATACAACTATTTCACATTCTGTAGTCTGTAGTCACCGCGTGCGCGTGTATATGTGTGTATATATGTGTACGCGTGTACTTGTGACATTGAAGATTATATTTGTCAGATTGTTTATGTATTGAAAACTACTGTAAAGTATCAAGCTGCTTTATATTTAAGAAATTATATCCACAAATCAATATTCGAATATTCGTTGATATTTTATTTAACTTTGATCACTTTCGGAATCTTGTTGTCTTTTGTATAACGCTACATTGCTTTCCGTATAGTCCATTACGCGACGCTGACATTGCCTCTTATATTGTTGTTGTTTATGATAAATCTTAAATGCACCTTTTATTGTTATAAAAGCTGCACCACCCTGTAAACATAATAGAAAAATATATTTTTCTTTAAAAATATATTTTTAATAGAAAAATATATAAAATTGCATATATATATGCATTATATATAAAATTAAAAGTAAATAGATTATAATGACAATTTAAATAAGACGATATAAGAAATGATGTTAATTTTTTATAATATATGAAAAATAATCTCATATATACTTGACAATAATGTTTGGCAATTACTTTTGTAAATTTAAAAAATTAATACGTACCAACAATGTTCTTTAGAAAATTAGAACTTATATTTTACAAAAATATTTACTTCCACATAAGCTAGCAATGGTTGG